TCTTCATACATTCCCCTCTTTGCCTCCAAGGAAAAAAAGTTCTTGTCTCCACAACTCCTAAGTGCACCACTCACTCTTTTTCCCTCATCAATTCTATGATTCACCTCATCTTTCATAGACCCATCCGCTGACACGTCCACTCCCAAAAATATCTGAATACGTTCACCTCCTCCATACCCCTCTCCCTCCAATCTGATATTCAATCTTTCATCACCTAATCTTTTTGTTATCCTCATAACCTTACTTTTTCCTGTATTCACCTTTAATTTTCTTCTTTTGCACACCCTACCAAATTCATCCACCAATCTCTGCAACTTCTCTTCAGAATCTCCCAAGAGCACAGTGTCATCAGCAAAGAGCAGCTGTGACAACTCCCACTTTGTGTGTGATTCTTTATCTTTTAACTCCACGCCTCTTGCCAAACCCTCGCATTTTCTTCTCTTACAACCCCATCTATAAAATATTTAAACAACCACGGTGACATCACACATCCCTGTCCTAAGGCCTACTTTTTACTGGGAAAAAATTTCCCTCTTTCCTACATACTCTAACTTGAGCCTCACTATCCTCGTAAAAACTCTTTCACTGCTTTCAGTAAAACCCACCTCCTACACCATACACTTGCAACATCTGCCACATTGCCCCCCCTATCCACCCTGTCATACGCCTTTTCCAAAACCAAAATGCCACAAAGACCTCTTTAGCCTTATCTAAATACTGTTCACTTATATGTTTCACTGTAAACACCTGGTCCACACACCCCCTACCTTTCCTAAAGCCTCCTTGTCATCTGCTATCCTATTCTCAGTCTTACTCTTAATTCTTTCAATTATAACTCTACCATACACTTTACCAGGTACACTCAACAGACTTATCCCCCTATAATTTTTGCACTCTCTTTTATCCCCTTTGCCTTTATACAAAGGAACTATGCATGCTCTCTGCCAATCCCTAGGTACCTTACCCTCTTCCATACATTTATTAAATAATTGCACCAACCACTCCAAAACTATGTCCCCACCTGCTTTTAACATTTCTATCTTTATCCCATCAATCCCGCTGCCTTACCCCCTTTCATTTTACCTACTGCCTCACGAACTTCCCCCACACTCACAACTGGCTCTTCCTCACTCCTACAAGATGTTTATTCCTTCCTTGCCCTATACACGAAATCACAGCTTCCTATCTTCAACATTTAACAATTCCTCAAAATATTCCCTCCATCTTCCCAATACCTCTAACTCTCCATTTAATAACTCTCCTCTCCTATTTTTAACTGACAAATCCATTTGTTCTCTAGGCTTTCTTAACTTGTTAATCTCACTCCAAAACTTTTTCTTATTTTCAACAAAATTTGTTGATAACATCTCACCCACTCTCTCATTTGCTCTCTTTTTACATTGCTTCACCACTCTCTTAACTTCTCTCTTTTTCTCCATATACTCTTCCCTCCTTGCATCACTTCTACTTTGTAAAACTTCCATATGCTAACTTTTTCTCCCTTACTACTCTCTTTACATCATCATTCCACCAATCGCTCCTCTTCCCTCCTGCACCCACTTTCCTGTAACCACAAACTTCTGCTGAACACTCTAACACTACATTTTTAAAACCTACCCCATACCTCTTCGACCCCATTGCCTATGCTCTCATTAGCCCATCTATCCTCCAATAGCTGTTTATATCTTAACCCTAACTGCCTCCTCTTTTAGTTTATAAACCTTCACCTCTCTCTTCCCTGATGCTTCTATTCTCCTTGTATCCCATCTACCTTTTACTCTCAGTGTAGCTACAACTAGAAAGTGATCTGATATTTTCTGTGGCCCCTCTATAAACATGTACATCCTGAAGTCTACTCAACAGTCTTTTATCTACCAATACATAATCCAACAAACTACTGTCATTTCGCCCTACATCATATCGTGTATACTTATTTATCCTCTTTTTCTTAAATATGTATTACCTATAACAAAAACCCCTTTCTATACAAAGTTCAATCAAAGGGCTCCCATTATCATTTACACCTGGCACCCCAAACTTACCTACCACACCCTCTCTAAAAGTTTCTCCTACTTTAGCATTCAAGTCCCTACCACAATTACTCTCTCACTTGGTTCAAAGGCTCCTATACATTCACTTAACATCTCCCAAAATCTCTCTCTCTCCTCTGCATTCCTCTCTTCTCCAGGTGCATACACGCTTATTATGACCCACTTCTCGCATCCAACCTTTACTTTAATCCACATAATTCTTGAATTTACACATTCATATTCTCTTTTCTCCTTCCATAACTGATCATTTAACATTACTGCTACCCCTTCCTTTGCTCTAACTCTCTCAGATACTCCAGATTTAATCCCATTTATTTCCCCCCACTGAAACTCTCCTACCCCCTTCAGCTTTGTTTCGCTTAGGGCCAGGACATCCAACTTCTTTTCATTCATAACATCAGCAATCATCTGTTTCTTGTCATCCGCACTACATCCACGCACATTTAAGCAACCCAGTTTTATAAAGTTTTTCTTCTTCTCTTTTTTAGTAATTGATACAGGAGAAGGGGTTACTAGCCCATTGCTCCCGGGCATTTTAGTCGCTCATACGACACGCATGGCTTACGAGGAAAGATTCTTTCCACTTCCCCATGGACAATAGAAGAAATAAAAAAGAACAAGAGCTATTTAGAAAAAGGAGAAAAACCTAGATGTATGTATATATATATATATATGCATGTGCGTGTCTGTGAAGTGTGACCAAAGTGTAAGTAGGAGTAGCAAGATATCCCTGTTATCTTAGCGTGTTTATGAGACAGAAAAAGAAACCAGCAATCCTACCATCATGCAAAACAGTTACAGGTTTTTGTTTCACAGTCATCTGGCAGGACGGTAGTACTTCCCTGGGTGGTTGCTGTCTACCAACCTACTACCTGTGTAAGTAATGAGTGAACTGTATATACATTTTATCGCTCTGGGATGCTTAAATATCATGGAATATATGTGTGGGTGGGTTGGCCTGGTATGGTAGCCCAGCTGACTACCATACATACCACACTTGATTTTTTACAATAAATACTACTCATCTCTGGTGGCCTGGTGGTTAACGCTCTCGCTTCACACGATGAGGGCCTGGGTTCGATTCCCAGCCAGAGTAGAAACATTGGACGTGTTTCTTTCCACCTGTTGTCTATGTTCCCCATCAGTAAAATGGGTACCTGGGTGTTAGTCGACTGGTGTGGGTCGCATCCTGGGACACTGACCTAAGGAGGCCTGGTCACAGACCGGGCTGCGGGGGCGTTGACCCCCGGAACTCACTCCAGATAAACTCCAGATAAATCTCACCCTATATTTTAAGGTAAGTAATGAGTGAACTGTATATACATTTTATCGCTCTGGGATGCTTAAATATCATAGAATTGTATGTGGGTGGGGTGGCCTGGTATGGTAGCCTGGCTGACTACCATACATACCACACTTGATTTCTTACAATAAATACTACTTGTCTCACCCTAGATTAAGACTATAAATATTTTAAGGTAAGTAATGAGTGCACTATGTGTGTATTGTACTTTTTATTGTTTTTTGATGCCTGGTTCTATTGCTAACTTAATATATGTTAGTGTAAACTTGTTATCTAGTGTTTGTATGCATTTGTAAGTGGAAAAAAAGGGTGTTCCACTTTACGGCGGTAGCCTGGAACCTAACCAGCCGTATAAGTGGGGCCTTCCTGTACTTGATTTCTGATTGTTTTCATTATGTAAATCTTTATTTAATTTGAAAAAAAATATTTTATTTTAATATTTTTGGGTGTCTGGAACGGATTATTTTATTTCCATTATTTCTTATGGGGAAAATGGTTTCGAGTTTCGTGAATTTCGACCTTCGGCGGGCTCTCTGGAACGGATTAATCACAAAACTCGGGGGTTCACTGTACTTCTGGTGTCATTACCATCGGGAAAAGATTCTCTATCATTTTATGAGAAATTTTTTTTTTTTTTTTTCAAATATTTTGTGACACCAGGAGACGCCTCAGGATTTGGGGTTGCGACAGTCAAAGGGTTAAAAGCCCTCTCTGTTTTATGGATACAATTACCTAATAAAAAGGAATAGATCAGTAGTAAATTTGATGGGACAAACTAGATAATGTAATATAGAAGAAAATCTTCAAGACTTTTGCTAAAAGGTCATAAGCTAATTACATTACCTACATATCTCATCCATTTAGCATGAGACAGTATCAAGCATTTTAAAATCTTAGCTTTATATAATGTGTATACATATTCAAAACTATGAACATAGAGTTTCACACACAGCTGTTCTAAATTTCTGTGTATCCAAGCTATTACTAAACTCAATTTTTTTACTATTATACTATAACTTAATGAAATCAATGATGATGAAAAATTAAGGGGAGGACTAAATTTTGGTAATTTATCAGCCAAAAATTCAAGGTTTCTCCACTAGAACTTTTGTAACCAAAAAGTAACATCAAAACCGACAAGCTTAAAATCCAGTCTTGTTAATAGTAATTTTTCAAATAGATTCACATTATTCTTAATATGAGAAGCAAAATTTTTTCTACTCGAGTCCTTGAGTCAATATAATTGAATAACCCTTTAGACAGCTTGTATGCTATTGACCCACAGAGGACTAATTTTAAGCCTAGTAGAGTTACCATATTTATGGGTCATATGGAGAGGGTGTTGTATCTCTTGAGGATAACTGTTTGATAAGTGCATCATCACCTTTGAAAAAAATTAATTTCTTATAAAAAGTATCAGAATCTGTAAGTAAATCTCTAATAAATAAGGTAATCCTACAAGACCTATATTATCTTTATGAGGTCTGTAGTATACAAGCTATGTAAGTGACAATTTATATATTGTATTAATTTTAAAAATATTACTTTCCTTCTTCAAGTACGTTAAGAACACAAAACATTATGTACATACTAGAGATATGAAAATGAAAAGAAAAAAATCTGCAACAGTCCAACTAAACTCTAACCTTTGTGTCCCACTCTGGCTGGACATCCTCTGAAGGATCATGGGAAAATGGCTGCTGCTTGCGCTGTAGAAATAAATTCTAATGACAGACATGCAGCAAATACAAAAATCTATACTGAATACGAAGTGAAGAGCATGCTAGGAAGTAATATAGTATAATCTTCAAAACATAGAAGAAAAATACATAACACCTATGTATACACTACATAGAAACATTCAAAATACTAAAATGTTGTATAGTTACAAGAAGTACTTACACATTCTTGCGTATCTTCCAGCCAATCTCTAATGCGATCATGCGTGTTGACTTTTTCTGGAGGTGGGTGAGGCACAACCTCTCCACGTTTCGTTGATTTCGGTGGAGTTGGCTCCCTCTGAACTTTGGTTAAATGGCCATATACAGCTAAAGTGATTGTATTATAATTCCCTCGAAGCAGTAATCCATCAGTCGGAACCTATAATATATTTACTTTCTAGATGTGTGAATACAATGACTGTAATCCATTAACTTAACTTCTGATATTTTAATGAAAATCTGATAAACTGCACACATGAAAACATAAGGCATTTACTGAACAATAAATTACTATGCATATAACAATAAATTTAAAGTACTGAGTAGTTCTTTAATATAAAAAAAATTCTTGGAAAAAATCATTATGTTTCGTGCATTATCTGGAAAACTATGCCCATCTTTGCAAAGTTCAAAAGAAATCTGCTTAAGTAGCTGTTTATTTACTGTACTGTACTTAACCCTTAAACGGTCCAAACATATCGACATTCAAATTCATAGTGCTACAAAAGTAGATCTACTTTTTTTTACATATTTTCAAATATAACAAAAAAAATGTAGATAAAAGTTTTTTTTTACACGTTTTCACATGTAAAACAACAAAAAAAAGATCTACATTTTTTTACATACTTTCAGATGTTGAAAAAACATATATATACGTTTGGACCATTTAAGGGTTAATACATGTTAGAATTCCCCACTCATAATTGGTTGATGACAAGTAAAGAGACAGTTCAGGCATTCGCTAAATACTTTCCTGTAAGCAAGCCACTGACTCTGTTGGAACCTCAGGGGTAAACATAAGTAAGAGATTTTCACCTTGTAGCTATATACCTTGATTTTTTAACACCCCTCCCTTATCTCACCACTGATTCTTTCCCTTTAACCAGATAGGTTAGGGTGCCTGGTCATTTCTCACCTAAATAACTTAGTTCCTAGAGGATTGTAAGCAAAAATTATTAACCTTTAAACTGTCCAAACGTAGATCTACGTTTTTTCAACATTTGAAAGTATGTAAAAAAAAACGTAGATTTTTTTTTTTTTTTTTTTTTACATTTGAAAACATGTAAAAAAACTTTGATCTACTTTTTTTTTATATATATTTGAAAATATGTAAAAAAAAACGAAGATCTACTTTTGGAGCACTACGCATGTGAATGTAAATCTGTTCGGACAGTTTAAGGGTTAAATGATTATATTGACATTTTCCTGTAACATTATTCCAATATCACAGGAAAATTTTTTGAGTATTTACAGTACTTTTTTAAACTTATTTACAATTATTCTTCAAAATGCTCTATTTGTATAACGTTTACCCATTTTGGTATGAAACAAATTATAATATATTTACTTTTTTTTTTTTTTTATTCGCCGGTATTCTCCTATTTATTTCACATGAACCAGTTAGAAATATACAGTGTATACTTTATAGGCATGCCCTCATTTCCCTGAGAAAGAATAGACTTGTGTGAGCATGTTGGATAGGAGCAAGTGGAGGCAAGTGTTTATGATTTAACATGCTGTTGGAGTGTGATAAAGGTAACATTTATGAAAGGATTCAGGGAAACCAGTTAGCCAAACTCTAGCCCTAGAGGTGGGTAGTATGGTGCCTGCACTCCGAAGGAGGGGTGGGGGATGTTGCAGTGCAGAGGGTCATCCGAACTGTGATATCGGCATGATACTGATAAGACTGTGATTGGATGAGTGAGTGTTTTCTTCTTTGTCAGGACTCCCTACCTCGGGTATACAGCCGGAGTATTAAAAACAAAGTTCTTACTGTATTTTTTTTTGTTTGTGTAGCAATATCTGATTAATAAAATTACACCAAAATCTCATATGTATTTTCAAGATACTAGTGAAAAGAAAGGTCAATACATGAATACAAAAATGACCGCAGCAGACGTTCATTATAAATCCATTAACAAGAGGCAAGAACTTCATCTCTGTAAAAATGAAAGTAAAAATCTATAGAATACTTAATGAAGGAGTACATTTTAAATTTCTTCTTTCTTTTCTTTATATAGTATACTGTATTCATCCTGTACAAACCCACTACAATATTATGCTCAAAAAAATCACAATACAGCAACTACAACTGAAGTTCAATGGATATGCTTGAAAGGGATTTAATACTACAAATCAAATTACAAATATCAAATTGTATATCTTGAATAACAATTTTTCCAAACTACTACAAAACTGCTAAATAACCTATTACCATCTGATAGAGTGGAATTGAAATAAAGTATACCCAACATGCACTGAATAATAATATAGTTGTTATCGTCACTAGTTTTTAATATCAATTAAAAGGAAGTGTAAAAAAAGTGAATGCTCAAGTATTTAACCCTTTGACTGTCGCGGCCGTATATATACGTCTTACGAGGTACCATGTTTGACGTACATATTCTCATAAATTCTAGCGGCTACAAATCAAGCAGGAGAAAGCTGGTAGGCCTACATGTGAGAGAATGGGTCTGTGTGGTCAGTCTGCACCATATAAAAAAATCCTGGAGCACGCAGTGCATAATGAGAAAAAAAAAACTCCGACCGTTTTTTTTAATTAAAATGCCGACTTTGTGGTCTATTTTCATATAGTATTTATGGTTGTATTCTCGTTTTCTTGGTCTCCTTTGATAGAATGGAAAATATATTATAGATTTTGATTGATTTTACCATAAAAAGAACCTGGAAATGGAGCACAAAGTACGGGAAATGATTGATTTTTGCCGATGTTCAAAAGTAAACAAATGATGTCATCATCCAATAAATGTCCAAATAGCCATTCTAATATGCAGTCATGAATGGGTTGATGTAATTTTTACAATTATTACAGTATTGCAGTAATCTGCATAACAGTAAATCTTCTATTTTTTGTTTGAATAAAATTTCAAAATAAAAAGCAAGAGTAATATCAGAGGGGCCTGGAGACATGACTGATGAACAAAGAAAATGTTATTTTAGAGCCAGGAATGTCTGCATTGTTCATTCTGGTCCTTATTTTGAAATTGTCATATTTTTTAATTTTCGTGAAATTGGTCAAATTGCAAATTTCTGACCATGTTATTGGGTAGTTGAAATCGGTAAATGGGCAGTTTCTTGTACTCAATTGATAGAAAAAATGGAGTTTCTGAAGAAATAGCTATGAGTTTGGTTGACTGGAATAATGGAATTAGCCGAAAATAGGGCTCAAAGTGGGCGAAATCGCCGATTTGTAAATATCGCCGAGGTCGCTAACTTCGCGAGAGCGTAATTCCGTCAGTTTTCCATCAAATTTCGTTTTTTTTGTGTCTTTACAATTGGGAAAAGATTCTCTATCATTTCATAAGAAAAAATAATTTTTTTTTTAAATTTTGCGACGCCAAGAAACACCTCAGGATTGGGGGTTGCGACAGTCAAGGGGTTAAAGTGTGGGCCTTAACCCTTAAGTTGTCCAAACGTAGATCTACGTTTTTTCAACATTTGAAAGTATGTAAAAAAAACGTATTTCTTCTTTTTGTTTTTTTACATTTGAAAACGTGTAAAAAAACTTTGATCTACGTTTTTTTTTTTGTTATATTTGAAAATATGTAAAAAAATGTAGATCTACTTTTGGAGCACTACGCATGTGAACATAGATCTGTTTGGACAGTTTAAGGGTTAAAGATAAAAAATTTAAATTCTTGTTTCAGGTGCCACATTTGCTATTTGCAGGTAATACAGCACTTTAAGTAAATTCAGAAAAGCTGAATGAAAGTAAAGAAGGGAATGCAAAAGAAGGACAGCTGAAAGTGAATACTGAGAAAGAACAAGGAGAGGAGATTAGATGAAGGTAATACTACATTTTGTTAACACATCACCTATCTCTTCCCATGGCAGAGCAAGCCCAAAGGAGGGAAGTCCATTTACTATCACTCTTTCAGAGTACAGTGGACCCCCGCTTTACGATCAGCTCCCAATGCGACCAATTATGTAAGTGTATTTATGTAAGTGTGTTTGTACGTGTATGTTTGGGGGTCTGAAATGGACTAATCTAATTCACAATATTCCTTATGGGAACAAATTCGTTCAGTAATGGCACCTGAACATACTTCTGGAATGAAATAATATCGTAAGGCGGGGATCCACTGTACATGCACTGTGCTTCCCACCTCCAGAATTGAAGTTCAGCAATAATAAATATATGAAACAAAAAATCAGAGGTTAAACTAGAAGTATGAAAGAAAGAAATGTACAATATGGTTCTTTACCTAACTATAGATATTTGAGAGTCATGCAAAAAAAGAAAATTCAGAACAGTATAGAATATCAAAGTACTGTACAGTGGTACCATTTCTTTGTATAGGTGTTGCAAAAAGGAGGTTAGAGCAGTGAAAATGTCTTGGCCACAATCAATATGGTGTAAGTGGTGATATGAAATGCATAATTAAACTAACATAAGAGGGCTCTTGGGTACTTTTAGTTATGAAGAAAGGTGAGTAAAAATTAAGATGTGTATAAATCTTGGGTGAAAGGGGGATATAGGTTATATCTGGTTAAGGACTGGAATGAGGGTGCAAATGAGGTACACATGTACTCAGAGATAGAGGCTTGAGCAACCAGCATGTTACATCAGAATGACTGGAGGTAAATAGTCTCAGGGATTTAGCATGATGCTGGACTGTGATAATGGTAATACTTTATATTGTATATGAAAGTGCTGGTTTCTTTTTCTGTCTCATAAACACGCTAGATAACAGGGATATCTTGCTACTCCTACTTACACTTTGGTCACACTTCACAGACACGCACATGCATATATATATACATACATCTACGTTTTTCTCCTTTTTCTAAATAGCTCTTGTTCCTCTTTATTTCTTCTATTGTCCATGGGGAAGTGGAAAAGAATCTTTCCTCCGTAAGCCATGCGTGTCGTATGAGGCGACTAAAATGCCGGGAGCAATGGGCTAGTAACCCCTTCTCCTGTAGACATTTACTAAAAATGAGAAAAAGAAAAACTTTATAAAACTGGGATGCTTAAATGTGCGTGGATGTAGTGCGGATGACAAGAAACAGATGATTGCTGATGTTATGAATGAAAAGAAGTTGGATGTCCTGGCCCTAAGCGAAACAAAGCTGAAGGGGGAAGGGAGTTTCGGTGGGGGAAATAAATGGATTAAATCTGGAGTATCTGAGAGAGTT